TCAGGCTTCCCTTGAGGCCACTTGCGCCCACCCTGAACTTTAGGACACCTGGTTCACCATGCTCCCCTCCACCCAGTTCTTATGCTGCCTTGAAAGCTAGAAGCTCACATCTTCATCTCTGGGTTCACAACTTAAAGTTCTCAAAAAAAAAAAAAGAGGAACTCTATAATTTGTTTTTAGCAGACATCTGTAAGAGCCTCAGGAAAAGAAAAATATATATTATTGGATTTAGGCCAATATCCTGAGTGACTATTTAGACCAGATAGAGACCATGTATTAAAAGTTACATTTCAGTGTGAATTCTTGAGATAAACATCTATGGACTAAATAGTTAAGATGAAATCTTGTTGGAAGGAAGGAAGGGGAGAAAGAAGATGATTTTCTAAAGATGTCTTAAAAAGGATTATGTTTATAACCAAAAGTTGGTATTTTCCCAGTGAGAGATAAAATAGACAAAAATTCTTTGACCTAAGTTAAATCTTTTAGCAATGCATTTTAAGAAACTCACACACTGCCTCTCTTCAGAGTAGCAGGTATGTGATGGTTTGGTTTTAGCATTTAATTCAGTGATGCACTTGTAGATTATATTTAAAAGGCAGAGATATAAATTTTATTCAGTTGATCTCATTTACCAGTTTATACGAGAAGCTTCAATTCACGTTTTTTTCCATTTGCTTTGCTTCAGCACTTCCAAACCAAGCAGGTCTGGTTCCACTGTCACCCTCACACCCGAAGTATGGATAAATAAAGAAGGAAATAATCACTGGAAGGAAAACTAAGGTTTGGGTCATACATCAACGCTGCTTAGTTGGCATCCAAACACACAATTCACATGGCGGAAAAGCATCCCGTGATTGCTTATCCATTACAGATCAATTGCAGAAAAGGCTATGCCTTTATTAAATGCATAATTTAGGAATCCTGTAAACATTTAGGATTTAAACTCCACTTACTAAATGGCCAATGCATAGTAATTAACCAGTGTGTGAAATTAAATCCAACCCTAAGGAATATTTATAAACATGTTGTTTTTAATCCTATCTGAAGGTTTTCCAAGAAAATACTATGCAGAAGGTTCAAATATCTTATAGTAAATTATGGTGAAAAAGAATATGAAAACGAATATATGTATGTTTATGTATGACTGAGGCATTGTGTTGTATACCAGAAATAGACACAATATTGTAAACTAATTATACTTCAATAAAAACACATATATATACACAAAAAGGGCAGTTGAACCAATCTGACTACAGACCACCACCACCCTATTCTAAGGAATATCACCTTAAGTGTTCATCATCTGTTTAATATAAAATATCCAAATGGATAAACCCATAGCCCATTAAAAAATAAATTCATTTGCCCAATATTAGGATGTTTACATTTTAAATTTTACTACTCATTAGTATCCTCAGCCATTGAGCATTTGTATGGCTTTCTGTTTGTAGCTGCTTAAAGCCTATTGCTGCTGCAGTCACCACTTTCTACTGGATTCACACAGTACCTGGTGAGCTACCTTCAGAAAAATCTGCCTTTCTTCATGGCAACCCCTGATCTCCAAGAGCCATTTTAACAAGGTGGGGGCCAAGAGAGTGTGGGTGATCCTGGGAAGTCCGTCAAAACTATGGCAAGAGCTATCAAATCACAATTCTATGAACAAAGGTAGGCAATGTTTCTGTTAAAGCAGGCAGATAGTTAAATATGAGCAGAGAAAGGGGGGCACGGATCAAATGGCAGGAAACCATACATCTGGTGAACAACGGGGGTCCTTGGGCAAAGAAAAGCAGGAACCTCTGGACCAATGAGAAGCCACACATTTTGGGTTGACAAGTGTCCTGGAGGCAGATAAAGAAAGGTGGGAAAAGACAGCAATCTCTGGCATCCAAATGTAACCTTTTGCTTATTATGCCCTCATTACAATGACAGTAGCCTTGCAGATTAGAAGTACCTATCATGCACCTATGCTATGACACTTCTGATCAAGACTAAATAAGGACAAAAATCCCTCCTTCCTTCAGGAAGGTGGAGATAGGATGAAAATCAGGAAATATGACCCCAAATGCCTCCCTCCCCAATAATATTTCACTCATTCATTTTTATACCCTAATAAGTTTGCCAAAGAAACTCAGCACAGCTACTCACCCAAGTCTCTCTGCTCTTTCCTTGAGAGTGTATTAGCACCTAATAATAAATCTTTGCTTTACTATCTTGACCTCCATATCTCATCTTTGAATTCTTTCCGTGATGAGACAAGAATCTACTCTCTAGTAACATTCCCACCCAAGAAAAAAAAAGTTGTAGTCTTGCTTATTCTGGTGAGATACTGTAGTATATAAACTGGACTATAAAAGGTTGCAAGGAAACTTAGAGAGCACCTGACATGCTCTCTGTTACCAAATTCAACCCTCCGTCATTCAAATGCAAAATTTTCTCTTATTAGAGAACAGGAAAATCCACATATTGCTTATGAATGTTCACTGAATTTCTATAGAATTTAAATCCACTAAACAAGATTCCTTAATGGTTTTACCCAAGATAAGAGTGAGCCAAGAACAAAAGCAGAGATTTCTTGCTGCAAAAGCAGCCTCGTAAGATTTGTTTTCCTCTCCTTCCTGCCTTTGGATCTAAAGGCTGAAGAGGAGGTTAGGAATGGGGTTCACAGGTACTTGGCTTACTCTGTGCCTTAAAGAATGGTGTTCTGAGAAAGATCTGAGCTCTCACTTGGCGCTTGCGCAAGGATGTTCCTTGGGAACTCCACGGTCAGTTTGCCCGTGGAGCTGCTCCAAGTTGGGGCTTCTATCCATTACATGTGGAAATGGCCCACCCTGCTATTGGTGCCTGCTTCTCTCCATCTCTTCCAGTGCTTCATCACCTTCTCTTTTCTCTGTGCTCTCTGTCTCAATAAAGTTTTCTCTGGGCAGTATCTTCAGCTCTAGAAAGTTTAACTAATCCCTTCTCCACCTCATCTTAATAGATTTATAAACTTAGATTCGCATTTCATATTCATGAATTCCAACTATTACAAACAACGTATTTTATCATCTTTATACACTATAATGCATATTCATAACCCTTCTTGAACTGGGGAAGGATCATTATAAAGTATCACTGAGAGTCTGAGGAGTTGGCAAGACTTTATGAATAACAGCGTTTTAATGTTTTCCAACTCTTGTGTTTAAGAAATTATATTTTATATGTAACTCTATAGGTGAAATTAAATTCTCCTTTTCCTCTTTTAATGAAATTGAAATTATTTTTCACAATCATTCTAATGAAATCCCTTTAGCACATGAAGACTTAAAATAATAGACATTAAGCACATTTGTTTTCCCAGTTAGAAAGGTCCAATTAATTTAATTTATTTTAAAAGGCCCTTCCCTCATTGGTCTTTTCTTTGCTTAGGCATAAACTCTTTTAGACAGGAATATGTCTATTTTAGTGGATTCTGACCAATGGGTAATGAGCACCATCCTATTATGTGCAGACATGTAGCAATACTTCCTCAGGAGAAGAATACTGGCTAATGTTTACATCAAGCTAGCTATATGTCAGGTACTATTCTAAGAGCTATAAATGGAATCAGTTGATGCATTCCTCATGAAGTATTTTCATTATCCCCATTTTACAGATGAGAAAATTCAGGCATGGACTGATTAAGTAATCTGCACAAGTTAACAAAGCTTGGAAGTGGCTAAGAATATAGAGGAACAAATGTGATACAAATCTCCATTCCTTTAATAATTTCCTCAACAACTAACAAAATTCCTCTACAAAGACTCATATTCTCCACAGATATCTCTCTCAAAATTAAATAATAATAAAGCAAAAAATGAGAGTTGAATCTTTCTCACTGTTCCAGATCCATGAAGTTCATGGTTTCCAGTGCAATTTCTAGTTCATTTGTTAGTTTGCAAAACTTTCCCTTGCCCTTAGAAATGCTTAAACTAACTGCATCCAAAAATAAATCTGACTAGATATTATTCAAGCATTTTAATCTTTATAATTAAACCAGTCTCTAGTTACTAGAGGTAATTTTGTTTGCAAAGACTATTAATATATGATTCTTTCTTACAAGTCTTTCTGTCACAGAGAAAATTTTGCATAAAATGCAAAGGGAGTAAGTAGGAGAAAATTAAACTCAGACTTCTTTTTAGATGAACTGTATTGGCTTACTAGAATTTCCAAACCCATATTAGCCTCTTAGCAAATGAATTTTGCAAAAATGAAAAACAGATTTCTTTTAACTTCTCTGTATCTCTGTAGTGATATGATGAAAACATAAATAATCTGTGGTCAGGAATAATTAGAACTTGAAAGTGAGTTCTAAGTATAAAAAATAAAATAAAAATTACCCATAATCCCACCATTCAAAAATCACTACTCAACATTTCAACACATTTCTTTTCACTCTTTTTTTTCTATTTTTTTAAAACATAGTAAGTGGGCTATCTTTGAAAACTCAAGGTTACTTGAACCATTTAAGAAGTGGGTCCCCTCATCCCCAGGGGAAAAGTCCTACTGTACCTTGCTCTCTTGTAATGTATTCATTTTCTTCAAAGAGAATTCAAATTATTGACAGAAAAATAAAATTATTTTAGCTAGTCAGCTGTTTCTTTTCCTATTTGGAAGATGAATTCTTCAATTAAAATGAAAGATTAACAAAGCCTTGGATGATTAGATCCCTTCATTTCCAAAGGTGACCTCCCTGTTGGTAGTTCTTACGGATGGTTTTTAAAGGTATGTACAATGAAAGGGTCAAGTTTAAGACTTCTCTGAACCTCTGCTCTCCATCTCTGTTAATGGCATTCCTGGTGTTAGAGATTTGTTTAATGATCAATAGCGGTTTCTCTTCCTACCACTAAGTCTTTCAGAAAGTAGTGTAACCAAGTCAATGTTTAACTGGATTCTTTGGGTCTGAAATGGCAAAGCAGCAGTTGATGGGAAGTCTCCATGGAAACCAGCCTCCCAGGAAGTGGCCAGAGGGTTAGAGTGTGTTGAAATAAAGCTACAGAAATGTCATGAAGGAAACGACTGCTTTGCAGAGCTGGGTTAACTTTGGAAATACCTTGATTAAAATAAGCTACATTAAAGGCCCCAGACTACTACACACACATGGTTTTACCTTGAGTATCTTTAATGTGAAATGGGCCTGAGCCACGCTAAGGCTCACCCAAGGGTGACCAAGGTAGCACCTTTGCAGAACAAAGAGGAAGAGACTCCCTCGGCCAGCCCTGTGGACTTCGCATTCACTCAGAATCTGGAAGAAAAGAGTTCATATTCATTCGCAAGACTGCAGGACCAGAATAAAGCTTTGGAACGGCAGCTGCCACCTCTACGAGAGACTGGGTATGGGAGATACTCTGCAGGTAAATGTAAAATCCAGCATGAATTAATGGATTTGGGCCAAGGAGAACTACTGATAGATTTTCCTGACTATCTCTATAATCTCAGAAAGTTTCTAGATTACTAAAATATAAGGGGCCATCTTTTGAGGGGAGACAATGTTTGTCAACTGCAAGTATTCTGGCTACATTAGGATGGGTGTGTAAACTGTACTAAGGGCTTTTCACCATTCCACGTGAGAAGGAAACCATGTTGTGTCAGCTTGGTGTATAGTGCTTTTGATGTCTGTACGTAGCTCTGCCAGGCAATTAAAATTCTATAGATAAAGATGTGATAAATTTTGACAATCGCATGTTGCAATTAGATTCTAAATTTAAATCATCCTCTCCAGTATCATTTGATGCTTCAGGCTTTACTGTGTTGAATGCAGTGCTTTAGCAGTGAATCCATTCTAATGTGAATTTGGAAACCACCCCAAACTGAATTGATTTATTGCAGTACAGATGAGCAGATGTGACATCCTCTCCCCAACCCCATATTCTGCATGGTCATCTGCAGAACTAGGAGAATTTTTTTCCCTTTATGATTGGCAGCCCTGAGGCAGAAGTGGCTGTAAATTCTCCTGGAATATTTTACAAGATAAAACATGTTTTATGACAGCCATGATGATGATACTTAAACAGACATTCTAACTTGGGAAGAGATATATACATATATGATGTATACACATGTATACGTGCATGTTAACTTCTCTTTTTGTCACATTCTGGATCATTAACACAAATAAGCTCCCATTATTGACCAGGAAGCTATATTCTCTTTTGGTACCTAGTAGATCTTACCTAGAATGATTTTCATGGCTACTTGCTGTAGAACTGACAACCTTTGACTGGTTCTCTATGGCCTATATTTTTATGTTCTTCAACTTCCTAAGCATGTGAGTAGGAATATTCCTCTTAGTTTCATCAAAGAACTCCTTTTTTATCCAAATCTTCCATCTGGAGTTTTAAGATTTTGGTACTGAATGGTAAAAGCTGACTCTAAGGTCCGAACTGGGAAATGTTCTTATTTTTGAAACTGCAAAATCACATTAAAAATTATGTGCATTCTGACCACTATTTTCAAGGGGCCCATATTCTAACCCCAGCTCCAACAAATACCAAATGGTATGTCTTTAGGCAAGTTACTTCATCGATTTTCTTTACTGATAAATCAGGGGTAAAAACAACACAGCCTATGCCATTTCAGGAGAATCAAATTAACTAATGGAGTGATATTACTCAAATCATGGCACAAAATTAAGGAGTTGTCAGACTGCTGGAAAAAATTCTGCTGAAAAAATTTACATTTTTAAATCCAACCTTTTTGTCTTACCCAACTTGCTCAGTGCTCTTGAAAGAAAATAAGTACACAGAGAAGCCCTTAAGGTGATCACGCTAATGTCTTAAGGATAGAAACACATAATTACCCAAGGATTTTGCCTTTTAAAATGCAAAGGGGGACTCTAGGATAGTCTACATAACAATCTAGAAATCAGAATGCTTCCAGATTGTTAAGAGAAAAGGACAAGAACATCATTCATGCAGCATTGGTCCTGGTAGTCGTCCCAAGGACCCAGGATAACCAAGCTGAAAAATGACGTCCACATGGATCTCTTGATCCTGTTTCCTAATGAGGCTTAACTCTGTAGCCCTGGGTTGTTTTATCAGGGAAGATTACTGGTATGTTGTATTATAGGAACAACTGTGGGAATTCATTTCCTTAGTTAGGGGGACTATTTAACTGGGAACATACAACACTAAGCATTAGATACTCCTATGATACACTAAAGCTCCATTTCTTTATCACCTCTCTACCTAATACCTATCCATCTATTTATCTATTCCACCTGAAAAGAGAACTTACCTTCATTTCTTACAGCTATATTTTTCTCTGATTTCCTATATTATTTGGGGGCAATTTCACGAAATTAAAACAAATCAATACTACGTTTCTATATTCCAGGCCAAATTCTATGTTTGAATAATATTTGCAGTCAATACACTGTTAACTGTTCAGCCCTTCCTCCAGATATTAATCTGGGGAAGAAATGAGGAAAGCAGAAATAAAATCCTGGGTCTAAGTGAATATTTTATTATTTACATAGGGCCCCTGCTTTACATGTTTCACCTCCACATTCCACCTATCGGTTAGACATACAGAACTGAAAAGATACAAGATTGTGTTAACAATTTCTAATAACTAATGATCAGTCTAACTTAAGAGTAAATTGTTTCTAATGGTTTGTTTTTGTTTCTCCCCAATCCTTCAAGTGCCTGGGGCCATGTATTTTGACATTCCACTGGAACAGAGGGAAACAAGTATTATTAAAAGGCATCCACCAAGAAGACTTCAAGTAAGATGAATTTAAAAGGCTTCATAAGGAATTTCTTGGATTTAATGGTAACAGCCCTTTTCAACTATAAGCATAAAAGAGGGATACTGACAATGACTAAGCTAATGAGAATGACAGTGTTGTCAATGCAAGACCATATTTCTTTAGGATTTCCTTCTGTAATGATTTCACTTTTAAGACTACCACCAAAAGAAGGGAGTATAGTACCAAAGACATAGGCATGATGGGCCTGAATCTTGCACTGATTAGTTGGGTGACTGTAGGGAAGTCACTGTAATAAGTAACAACAACAACCACTACTGCTATTTAATGACCACCGGCTACAAGTCTGATACACTCTAGGCCACTTGATCTATGTCATCCATTTAATTCTCATACTCTTCTGTGAGAAAGGAGGTATTATCTTTGTTTTATACGTGTGCTTCAGGGAGTGAAGTAACTTACCCAAGGACAACAGAGGCCACTTATCAACCAGGCCTCCGAAGCCTGTGCTCTTAACCATCAGTATAGATGATCTCTACAGCCCTGCTATCCCTAACCTTTCTTTCATCATTCCAAATGCTAACTGAGTGTTGAAATTGAGGACATTGGATTCCAAGGCAGCAAAGCAAGAGCTTTAAATGCATTCACCTTAATAAATATTTAATGAATTCCCTGTAGAGGACTATAAATTTTAAGAGCGCTCATCCTAGAAGGGGAAAGAGATCTGCGTGGATCCTTAAAAATGAGCATCAGCTAAAGGAGGGTTTGGGGCTCTCTTATGAGCAGGATCTATCACTGACATTTGAAAAAGGGACTTGGAGCCAAACCCCACCTGCTGCAGAACTCACTCAGATGTCTGGACCAATCCCAAGGGTATCTGAGCTCATTTGCTGGGGATTATTTCTGTTTCAGTTGGTTTTTATTTACTTGTCTCCTCCAGAAGCTCACCTCATTATTTGAAGTGATAATATTTCTTGGTCACAAAAAAAAGCATCTTTTCCCAAAATATTAGAAACCTCAAAATATTGTTTAGTTAATGGAAAATAAAGTGTAATTCTACAAAAATGATATCTAATTTTTAAATTTTTGAGCATACCTCTAAAGTGGACAATTTTAAAACTTGTGTTTTATTCCTAAACCAAAAGTATCCTTTCAAAGGAGCTCATTTAATATATCTTCCTGCAGAACCTCTAAGCTGAATAACTCAAACAGAAGATATTCCTGTAACCAGTGAAAAATATTTGTGTAGCAGTCTATAGTTCACAAAGTACTTTTTATATTTGCCAACTCTAAATAAGCTAACGTTAGGCTTTGATGCTGTCAAGTCAATCAAACTTAGAAAGAGAAATTTAGTATTTCAGAGTCAAAGACTGCACCCCCACATCCTAACCAACCATCTTAAAAATGAAGAGTCAAGACAAATGAATTATTTGAGCATAAAAACTATGTCTCATTCAGTTTATATCATCAGTTACTAACTATATGTATCCCATGAGAGTTTATGAATAAATGAATGAATGAACAGAGGGCTGAATGGGACCCGTTATCCCTGGTGGGGAAAAAAATAAATGAAAGTCCACTCCCTGCTACTTCAGACCTGTAGCATCACTGTATTGGAAGTCGAAGTGGCTAGTCAAAGCAACCAATGAGATAAATTTCAAGGATATAGGAGTATTTTATTGAGCTCAAGAGCTGGGAGGCACCTAGACTTCAGTGAAGAGCTGTGCCTTGGAACCTAAAAGGCAGAACTCTCTATGTGCATTTGCTTTAATCTCTCCTTGCAGATCAACTTTCCCTGATCCTCAGCACCACTTGATGAAATATGGCCACTCTGAATTTGCATCTTACAGTTCCAAACAGATAGACTAGCCTGGCCCTCTTGGCTCCAATTCCAAATTCCTGGGAGAAAAGATATTGGCTCAGCTTTGCTCATGATTCCTGCTCTGTTCCAGTGAGCTATGACAAGGGAACATGCTCACACAGTAGAAATGCAGGCAGGGGAACTCCCCCACCAACCGCCACTCACTGTAGATTCTACAGGCAGCTCCCAGAAAAGAGGGAAATCACTGGGAACTTGGCAGACGCTCCCAAAGATCTCAACTATAATTATCTTCACAAATGAAGCTCAGCACATTTTCCACCACAAATGGGTTTTTTGAGAGAATAATAAATGCTGGGTTCCCATGACATGCTAATTAATAGTCTAACCTCTGCCAAAGAAAATTATAAAAGTATTTTTAATTATTAAACCAAATCTAATTGCATCCTAAATAATTTGAATTTCATATTTGGCACTCTCCACTTCCTGAACATCTACTCCTCAAGTAAGGAGCAGGTCGTGAACTAAGGTTCTCCAGATTGGCAGTGCTAAGATGTGAGAAGCTCGGCCAGGCACCCTGAATCAAAGGTACCTGCCCCATGTTGAAAAGTTGATCATCACTGTTCCTTCTGGCCTGATGCACCTTCTCATCCAACCATGTCAGGTCCAGCCTAAGGTGGAGATGGTGCCCTGTGCCCGCTCCTACCCCATAGAGTTCTCTCAGGTGATCTCCTTGGATGACTCCGGCATCTCCAAAGATTTGCTTAAATCTCACCTTCCCTGTGAGATTTATATGACAACCTATTGATAATTGAAGTTTTTACCCTGGGACTCCAGATTTCCCTGACCCTTCACTATCTTGTCTTTCCTCTGGAGCACTTATTTCTACTTAACACATCAAGAAATTTGCTTGTCTATTATGTTCATTGTGTTTTTGATTTTTTTTAACCACCTCCCCACCACATCCCACCCCAATGCTAGAATATAAACTTCACAGAAGCAGGGATTTTTGTCTGTTGTCTTCACTAATAGACCCAAATGCCTAGAACAGTAGCTGGCACACAACAGATGATTAGTCAGATTGTATTAATCAATGTTGAATGAATGAATGGAGAGGAGAGAAAATTGAGCATAAAGACAGCTGGTGAGAGATAAGGAGAGTGATTCTGACCTGGATGGTTTCATGATACTGTTTTTGGTCTTAGACAGTTTGTCACAAACTTACTCCCTTTCCTTACCTTTTCTAATCCTGCCCATTTTCTGTTATCTTTTTTTCTTTGTGATTTATGAGAGTTCTTTATACATTTTAGATCTAGTCCTTTGTTAGTTATATGTGTTGCAAGTATCTCCTATCTATGGTTTGCCTTTTCATTTTGTTTGTGTGTGTGTGTGTTTCTGTATACACAAAGTGTTTAGAGTTGTCAAAGTTCTCAACCTGAACTTTATATCTCATATTTTGTCTAAGAAATTTTTATCTCCAAGCTCTTAAAGATATTCTTACTTCTTAAGTTTATAATCTTTAACTTCTCAAATTTAGGTCTTAATCCATCTGAAAATCACTTGTAAGCAGTTGTGAAGTTGGAATTTAATTTTATGGGTTTTTTTCCATTTGATTAAGCTATTGCCCCAACATTCTTTATGGAATCATCCACTCTTTGACCATTGATTTGAAATGTTACTTCTGCCATATATCCAATATCCAGAGCTTCATGAGTCTGTTTCTGGGCTCTCTTCTGTTGCATTGGTGTATTTGTGTATCCACAGGAATTCTACCCTGTCCTAATTATGTACCTTTAACTAAGTCTTAATATCTAATATGGTCAGTCCCTCACCTTATTCTTCTTCAGAATTGTCTTTGCTATTTATAGTCCTTTGCTCTTCCATGTGAAGTTTGGATCCTTCTCATCAAGTTCCACAAAAAAACTTTGTCAGTATTCTGATTGGAATGTATTCATAGATTCATTTGGGGAAAATTAACCACATTAACAACATTGAGTCTTTTAAACCATGAACATGGCATAAATCTCCATTTACTCACATTTTCCTTTACATCTTTCAATAATGTTTCATGATTTCTCCACAGTGAGAGAAATCTCACACAGCCTTGTGTGAGATATTTTTAGGTTTGTTTCTCAGGACCTGTATCAGTCAGGGTTCAATCAGAGAAACAGAACCTATAGAAATAGATATATATTAAGAGACTTTATTGCAAGGAATTGGCTTACATGATTGTGGAGGCTGGCAAGTCAACTTTGAAATCACAGGGCAGGCCTTAAGGAAGGGCAGACTAGAACTGTAGGGCATGAGTTGAAGCTGCTGTCCAGAAATATTTTCTCTCCTTCAGGAAAACCTCAGCTTTGTTCTGAAGGCCTTTCACCTGATTGAATCAAGCCCACCCAGATTATCTAAAATAATCTTCCTTACCTAAAGTCAACTGATTATGGACTTTAATGACATCTACAAAGAATTTCACAGCAACACCTAGATTAGTATTTGTATAACTGGAGACTGTGGCTGAGCCAAGTTGACACAAAACATGTTTTTTGACTCTCTTATGAATGAGGTATTTTTCCCATTTAATTTTCTAAGTGATTATTATTGGTTAATAAGAAAGCTAATGATTTTTGTGTGTTAATTTTTGTGTTCCACACTTGATTGAAATATACTGGTAATTCTAATTGTCTATAGATTCTTCTAGACTACATAGACAATATCGTCTATAAACAAGAATTTTTTTTTCTCTTTCTTTCCGATTCTTGTCCCTTGTACTGATTTTGTTGACTTTTGCATTGACTAAGACTTCCTTTGCAATGTTGAACATAAACAGTAGTAATGGGCATCCTTGTCTTACCTACAACATTAATAAGACTGATTTTTAAAACAAAATACATTTGCAACAGGATTTTGATAGATGTTGGTCAGAGTCCCAAAACAGATGGCACATTCAAACTAGGATAATTCAAGGAAGTTTTCTTTAAAACTTTACAGAGGTTTGGATAAGGGGAACCACAGGAGATATTGCAGGTAACCACTGGTAGCAGCTGAGAATTAACTACATCTAGGCCAAGGGACTCCTCGAACCCAGAAAGGAAGACTGAGGTAGAAGAAGATGCTTTGAGAGGAACAGTGGGACACAGCCAACCCAATATGACCTTGCAGGGAGGGAAACAGAGGAAGAAATAGCCTGACCTCATTCTCT